ATAATTGCAAGCTATTTTTTCAAATTTCAAAATTTAGTAATTTTTAAATGGCTGTAACTAGTCTTTTTGTAAAGATAATCATACTTTGTCTTAGAGTTTTGTAAAACTCAAAGACTCAACTTTGAGAATATGAAACGGTTTTTTGGAAAAAATTGCGTAAATTATGTGTAAATTCAATTTAAAACAAAAAAGAATTTTTCCTATGTTAATTAAATGGGAAACTAAAATAAAAATAGCGACCCCTTAGATTTGAGCTATAGGGCTCATGTTTGGCGAGGATTTTTTTTAAGAGTTAGAAAACAAAAATTAAAAATCTTGTTTGAAGCACCCTAGTATATATATATTGTCCATTGTGGATATTGGTGAAATAATTTTTGGAATCGAATGAGTAGTTTCTAAGGTTACCGCCTTTATCCATACTTACTTCACCTCATTATAATATTGGCATAGATTAAAGAGTCCACGTTAGAACTATAAAAATTTTATGTTTGCAGAATCCAATTCGTCTTTAGACATGAAATTATGGTTTCTTTCCAGGTTCACCATTAATTCATCTCGCAAAAAGAAGTGTTACTGCTCAACGGAATCAGTTTCCCTACCATGTTCAGTTGGTTTACACATATAAAATACCCTTAATTTCGAGATGTAGCGGTGCTACAATTTCCGAAAATTATGTGCTGACTACCGCTAATTGCGCTACAACGCCACCTACATCAGTCATTGCTGGTATTTTAGAAAGACATGAAATTTCACCCCATAGACAGATGGTAAAAGTTAAAAAAGTAAAGATTCATCCATTATATATCAGGTACGCATTTTTTAACTGTTTTATCTAAGCTTTCTATTGCTTTGAAAATTGACATATAGTGTAGAGACGTGCAAGTATTCTGTATGATTGTTTTAATAACTCGTTGTGAAACAGATAGTTGAGATTTCATAGAAGCCGGTCCTGTGCGTGAATTGGCAACATAGGCGTCTACCAAACAGCGTAGTGCGATAAAACTCTCCAGATACTTAGATGGAGATTTTAAACATTGCGGATTATCGAACAACTGGGATAAACATACACAATTTAGTACTACATATATACTTAGATTAAATAAATTAAATAAATACATTACAGGCAGTACTATATAAATTTAAGAACACATAAGAAAGAAGAAATGTAAGTTACGTAAACATTAATTGGTTAATGGAAATTATCTGGATATACAGTAAAAAGCGTCAATTAAAACTGAAATGAAACTTTACAGCCTGATAGAAAACATTATACCTAACCTAACCTAACCTAACGAATGTCGCAGGTGGCGGTCGTAAATCATAAATCACACACGGACAAAACACACATAGACTGCAAAACGAAAAGGAACGTACGAGAAGTTTCCGGAAATATTTAGGAACGGTCCGCGACAGTAATCTATAAATAAGTGACCAACATCGAGCGAGACAATTCGATAAGAGATATCTGATGTAAATAGTTCACGAACGATGGAATAAACAGTGATATAAATTTACAAATGAGTGACAACAGATTGTTATATAAATACTTAAACATATTGAGACCTGCTAAAGTCGACAGAACTACTAGAAAATTTGTTACAATATTCTTGCAAATTCATTCATTTAAATATGAAGTTCGATTCAATGCGAATACTGCATAAGTATTTGCACAACGTTACAAGATTGTTATAATGTTTAATGGAAATTTAAATCACTGATTGCATATTTTAATCCAATTGTTATAAGGTAGCAGTTGTTTATTATTTCGCAACTAATGAGACAAACAACTGATTCATAATTCAGATAATCGTAACTAAAAATAATGCCTACCTACTCATTGTTTTTTCTGAAACAAAACAAAACTATTTCAATTATGACACGGTAGATACACATGACTCAAAGGTGATTTATACATGCTGAAAATGTCACATTGTTGTTATTTAGCTACTTGACTCGTTCAGAAATAATTGTTAATATTCCATATTAAGGAAAATTATTATATCATGCAAAAGTTTAATTAAAGAAGTAAATATTAGGAAGGGAGTCAGACAGGGATGCACATTTTTACCGCTACTTTTTAATCTATACGTCGAAGACGCGATCAACATCATTAAAAACAGTACAACTGTAGGGATAAATATACAAGGGGAAAAGATTAGTATGCTCAGATTTGCAGATGATATAGCAGTATTAGCATCTAGCAAGGAGGAGTTAAAGATGGCTTTAAATAAAATGGAAGCGGTATTGACAGATCAGTATTGTATGAAAATAAATACAACTAAAACAAAAATACTGGTATGCAAGGCAACAAAAAGTAGGGAAAGAGCGAATGTAAAGATAGGAGACGAAAGATTAGGACAAGTGACTGATATTAGGTATCTAGGAAGTCAGATAAGTTAGGACGGAAGGACTGGTAGGGATATAAAGCAGAGGATAGCGCAGGGTCGAGTCGCCTCCAATAAAAAGAAGTCACTTCCATGCTCGAGAACGGTTAATTTAGAAATTCTAAAAAGGTTGTTAAAGGTGTATGTTTGGAGTACGGTGTTGTACGGGTGCGAAACATGGACAGTGGGCGCGGCGGAAAAGAAAAGGTTACAAGCGTTTGATATGTGATGTTACAGGCGAATGATGAGGATACCGTCTATAAATATGGTTAGAACTGAAGGGGTATTAGAAAGAATAGGAGAACAGAGGACTCTATGGAAGTGTATAAGAAATACGAGATAGGTTAGTAGGGCACCTTCGCAGGCATGAAGGGGTAGTCAGAGACATATATATCAGGCAGAAACAGGAATTAAGAGGAGTAGAGGTAGACCTAGATTAGATTACTGTTGGCAAATTGTTAAGGATGTGGGTTGTTCTAATTTTGGAGAAATGCGAAAATTAGCTCAGGATAGGAAATAGTGGAGGTGCGTGTCCAACCAGTCTTAGGATTGACGACCTTATGATGATGATGCATGGAGAAACACTGTACCATTGATGTGCAGAAAACAAAACTTATTTATTCAATTGTGTATGTTGTTCTCACGGCATATAAAATTAAATTTGAATTAACCAGAAGAAAGCACCTTAAGTTGTATAAACACTGGAAGAAGCATCAGAGTTTCAATGATACGATGCTCTTCTGCAGCACTACAGGCCTCAGCTCAATTTCCGACCGATGCAATACTTTTTTTCTTCTTTTTTAGATAGAACTACCGCCAAAGTCAATTTATTAGGTAGACTGTCTACTACTGTAATATCCTTTAACTGTTATTTGTTTTAGATTGAGAGGAATTTACAACGTTGCTTTAATACACCTCGACTTTCCGCTAAAATTTAATTCAGCTGTAAATAAAATTGATCTTCCTCCACCCGATTATGAGATTAAAGGAACTGCACAGCAAACAGGCTGGGAATGGCGACTTTTATTTCCCAATTATAAACTACAAGTTACGGAAAAACAACTTATCAGTAAGTAGGAAACAATAATTTTTAATTTACTCGCCCTGGATTAAGAAATTAATGAAATTTGAAGCGAATAGATATATTTTAAAGTCACGGAACCGTAGATCAATTTTATTAGTGATCCTATTTCTCAATTGACTTTCCCGTAGGGAAAATTTCCATTTGCTGAACGCAATGGCATTACCATTGCTGAACGCAATGGCATTACCATTGCTGAACGCAATGGAAATTCCATTGCGTTCAATTGGAACTTCATCAGCATGCTTTTTTCCATAATCCATACTATTTTGTTGAGAATTTGGTTCTTCAGGTACCTGAACCAAGGCACGTGCCTGGATGTCTGGCTCTTCATCATTGTGTTTAGATTTTTTTTCACTTGCTTCTGATAAAACTACATCACTCTCACAGATGACTTCGGCCTCCTCTATATTCTGGCATGGTTCAAAATCATCAAACAATGCTTCTAATGTAGGCTTTTTCACTTGTCTAGGGGTTGTTTAATAAAAGCCACCGGGTAGTTGAATATATATATAATAAACATAATAATGAATATAAACAGCAAACAGCAAAACGAGTAACAAACAGGAACTAAATATATACAACTAATATACAATATTCAATGTATCGCGTCTTCCAAAATACATACGTCTTCGTGTAATCACCATAAATACATCTTCCGTCTTTTTTAAGCAAAAATGCTCAACGTCTAAATGAAATATACCATTTTAATCAAACATCTTACCACCTTGCTTGTCTCTCACTCTACTGCCGTGGTGGTCCCTCACGTACCCCCAACATACACGCATAGGTAAAACTAGATTATTGATTTTCCACCACCTAATTGGCAATATCACTACTCTTGCACCTGGATAAGCAAAAACTGTATCGAAAAAGGCTAATAGTATATGTGGCCAGGAATTATATTGTAAATGGAAACAATTATTTCTCCAGTTATGCCAAATGGTTTTGAATGGAATTTACAAATTTTCCGTTGATTCCCATTGAACTTCAATGGAAATTTTTCCAACGGGTTTAAACAATCGAGTTCTTAAAATTGATGAAGTAGGGGTACCATTATTGTTCGATTGTTTCCTAAATATCAACAATCGACAAGTTCTTCAGTAATAAGTTTTTTGTTTGTTTTATTAACGCTACCGGTTTGTAAGGTACTGATAGTCTGGATAGAAATCCTATCTCACACTATCAAATTGTTTGAACTTTAATTATATTTATTAGATGGCTTCTTGTCTTGAAAATCTCTAAAAAATTTCCCCTGTTTTAGGATGTAGTTTCAGAAAATTTTCTTTAAACCCATTCAACTGGAATGCAAAGTTGATACAAAAACGTATATTGTGCGCGAAGGGAGAAGGTCCATTATCAGAATGCAAAAAAGATTCTGGAGAACCGTTAGTGCAAGATAAATATCTTATTGGATTATCCATCACTGATGTGACAAAATGTAAATTATTTGCTTCTACCTCAGTTTACGCTAATGTGCTGGCGTATGTCAGTTGGTTAAGGAATGAAATGGGTGAAATCTTACCTTCAGAAAGTACAACAACGCCATCTTTAGAAGGAATCACTAAGGCACCTACTGTTGGGACAAGAAGATCTTCTGAGCAATCTAGAGCATTATTTCCTGAACCTAAAGTAAGAACAAAACCATCTTTAGACGATTCCGCAGGAATACCTTTTGAAAGTTCCCCAAAACCATCTTTAAAAGAATCCACACCAAAGCCATCTGAAGAGGAATCGTCAAGTCCAAGTTCTAAAACGACCACAGGACAAACCTATGAGGTAACAACAAATCCCCCCCTCGATGGATCTACAGCACCTTCTTCTGATGTATACACAGTCGCTTCAGAAGAATCTGGTCGATCAATTCCAGAAGAATCCTCAAGCACAGAACACACTACGCCTAATGAGATATTTTCAGATGAACCTAGTCAATCAACTTCAGAAGAATTCTCAAGCGCAAAAGAACCTGCACTTAATGAGACACCTTCAGAAGAATCTGGTGAATCAATTCTAAAAAATTTTTATTATCAATACATTGAGATACGTACCTAACTGTCGACCATTTTGGCGAATGATATTATGCCAGTAACTCAAATAAAGGGATGTAGCTATGTTAGATATTCTGTTAATACAATACTTGTCTACTTTTACATGATAAATACATACAATCTAAAATGACCTCAATATGGTAAAGGTTACTGAACGGTTTATTGAGCAGTATATGAAAAGGCTATACTTAATTTACTTTTTCTAGCGATGTGCCCCTTCCTATGTCTTGGATGCGCGCTGGCAAAATCGTAGGTAGGGAGAAAAAGCTCATTATACTCTCGACTCTTGTTCATTAAACATACTTTTTCATACAGTATCTGCCAAAAGTTTTTTTCAATCATGAATAGTAGTGCGAGTCGAAAACAAGTGTTGAAGCCTTTAATATGTCTTCAAATATAAATAAGCATCTCGTTGATATTTTCAGTAGTAAATGGTACTAATAACAGCACATTTAAGCAATGCAATTGTAGTGGATAAAATGGTCAATTTTTCCGTGCAGTACTGTACGGATTATACGCTCCTCACCGGTAAAGAGTTTGGCCGAGAGTTGTCTCCTTCCTTTTCTGGCCTAGTGCTGTTCTTTTTTACTTTGCGCCGGTCAAACTGAAGGTCATATCGCTACAGAAAGTAAACGAAGTATAAGTAAGTATAATAATCTGTTTAGACATTCGTTTTAGAGTTTTGAAATAACAGATCGACCGATAATTTGTAGTAGAGACGAAAAATTAGAAAAAGTGACTAATTTTTAGTATCTAGGAAGTCACATAACTGAAGATGGAAGGAGTACTTAGTAGAGATATAAAACAGTGCATAGAGCAAGGTTTAGTCGCCTTCAACAAAAATTACTCACTTCTACGGTGTATGTCTGGAATGCGACGCTAAACATGGACAGTGGGTATGGCGGAATATAAAACGTTACAAGCGTTCGAAATGTGGAGTTACAAGCGAACGATAAGAATACAGTGAACAGAGAAGGTTAGAAATGAGGAAATATTAGAAAGAATAGGAGAGGTCAATATGGAAGCCAACAAAAAATAGGCCAGATAGGTTAGTGGGATACGTTGTCAGGCATGAAGGGCTACTTAGGGACATATTAAAAGCAGAAGTAGGGGTTAAGAGGAGTAGAGGTAGACCTAGATTAGAATACTGTTCACAAATAGTTAAGGATGTCAAATGTTATAAGTTTAGGGAAATGCGAATATTAGCACAGGATAAGTAAAAGGGGGAGGTGCCTGTTCATCCAGTCTTAGCAGTGACGAAAGGCTTGGAGAAAAGTGATCTATGTGTGGTATTGAACTCAATTAATTATTCTCCCAATGACCCTGCCATTTTTTTTACCCCTCCAAAAAATAAGATTTGTCGAACTCTCCAAAATCCCCCCCTTGTCTCGGCGATGACTTCCTCGTTTGAGCTAAATTTCTTTCTCGCTAGTCATTTCTTCTTGGTAGGGAACAAGATGAAGTCGCAGGGAGTCAAATCGGGGTGTGCGGCAACAGTTAATAATAACGTAATTCATGCATTTTGGCGGCATCAACTCCTGATGAATGTGCCTGTGCGTTATCGTGTTGGAAACGCACCTTCTTTTTCGTCAAATGCGTCCGTGTCTCCTTCAATTTTTTGTCGAAGCGCTCCAATAACTCACCGTAGTATTGTCCAGTGATCGTTCTTCCTTTTCCTAAAACAACGTTTGCCAGGCTTCCTGGTCGCTCCTATCAAAAACGGATCTTTGCCCACGTTTAAATTCGTTGAAGCAATATCTAACTGTGGTCGTAGATGGCGAAATGTCTCCATAAACAGTATCCAACTTTGTTTTCATCTCCTCGCATTTTTTCCCATCCAAAAACAAAAAGCGAGTTACCCAACGATAGTGCTCTTTTTCCATCTTAGCGAAAATAACGAAGCACATCTGAGTGGAATGGCTGCCAAATCCAAACTAACCTATCAATCAGTCTGAAATTCGTTTTGACGTGGTTTGATAGATGGCAGCACACGATGACAACGCCAATTTCCTGCAGAAACGTCCTCTGTCTTCAAACACGGGTACTTATTGAACCGCCCTTGTATAAAAACGGTTTTAAAGGAATATGCGATAAGTAGTGCCGTTAAATGCTGATGAAGATTGGTGGAGAAGACGCTATTGCGAAAGTGACTGGTTTTTATTGTAACTTCGGAAAACCAATCTATCTGTGTCTTCTAACTGTCGCCAAAACCTACATGCAATTCTTCATTCCGTTTAATTTTTGCTCGTAAAATCTCTGTAAACTACTTGTTTTGACTTGTAAATTCGTTGCTATCGACTTTAACCAGAAACGTGACATAAAACTTTAAAAGAATGCAACATTGTAAAAGCAGTATCTCAAGTTCTTTTTAAGCAACGAGATTGTTCTGAGTGCATCAACTAGTTTTTATCGTATACTTAAATTAATCCAAGTTTTATTGCTATTATGCTGGATGAAGTAAAAGATGTTCACAATGAAGTGGACTTTATACTACATGACTGTAGTTTTTTGAAATTGTGTAGACTAGAAGAAGTTTTCGACATCTACGGACGCTAACATTAACCACTATATTTGTAATGAGTAATGTAATTGATTGCACCATTAAGTAATGAGCAGTGTGAGTAAGTAGTTTGTTATAAGTAATGCTAATCGTTTACATTTTTTGTCTAATTCAAATTTACATAGAAATATTTGCCATTAACCACATTAGATGTGTATGTGTGTGTGTGGGGGGGGGGGGGGGGGGTGAGGCAGCCATTATTACTGAAACTAAAATTACGATTAAGCTAAATTAGTGTACCGCTTTGAACATTTCACCGAGCACAAGTAATTTCTACGACAAAACTATATATACACATTTATATTTCCTTTCATGTAGTTATAGAGCTAGGGCTGCAACGTAGAGAGGTAAATATTAGGAAGGGAGTCAGACAGGGATGCACACTGTCACCGCTACTTTTTAATCTACACATCGAAGACGCGATCAGCATCATTAAAGACAGTACAACTGCAGGGATAGATATACAGGGGTAAAAGATTAGTATGCTTAGATTTGCAGATGATATAGCAGTATTAGCATCTAGCAAGGAGGACCTAGAGATAGCTTTAAATAAAATGGAAGCGGTACTGACAGATTAGTACTGTATGAAAATAAATAAAAGTAAAACTAAAATACTGGTATGCAAGGGAAGAAAAAGTAGGGAAAGAGCGAATATCAAGATAGGAGACGAAAAATTAGAAGAAGTGGCTGATTTTAGATATCTAAGAAGTCAGATAAGTCAGGGCGGAAGGAGTAATAGGGATATAAAGTACAGGATAGCGCAGGGTCGTGTCGCCTTTAATAAAAAGAAGTCACTTCTATGCTCGCGAACATAGACAGTGGGCGTGGCGGAAAAGAAAGACTCTATGGAAGTCAATAAAAAATAGGCGAGGTAGGTTGGTAGGACACCTTCTCAGGCATGAAGGTCTTGTCAGAGACATATTAAGGGCAGAAACAGGAGTTAAAAGGGGTAGAGGTAGGACTGGGTTAGATTACTGTTCGCAAATAGTTAAGGATGTGGGCTGTTCTGGTTTTAGGGAAATGCGAAATTTAGCTTAGGATAAGAAAGAGTGAAGGTACGTGTCCAACCAGTGTTAGGACTGACGACCTCATGATGATGATGAAAACTAAAATGGTCATGGTATAAGCATTAAGGACTTTAAACGTGAATTACAATTAAACATTTTCTTCCACTTGCACTTTGAGCCCATAAGGTAACAAATATCCTATACAATGACGCTTTTACATGCACGAAATACAAATAATATGAAAGCACATTAGAAAAGCTCTTGATGATATCATTTATTTAAACGCAACAATTCATAAGTATAGAGTCGGTGAAGCTGTCAAACTTGCCATTGCCACAACGATTAAGGCTTGCATGTTAAACATACGTGGTGTATAAACCCAATCGGCTAGCATTGACCTAAATATATCACAATCAATAAAGACGGGGTGAAGAATAGCACAACACTAAAATAAATTTTTTATTTTATCGAATTCAGGTCTATGCTACGTGCATAAGTAAGTGAAGGTCGACTGTCTGGATATCATTCTATTCAAATCAATTTATTTTTGATTCGTTATATTAGACAGTGTATGAGTGTTTTCGCAGAAATGGGATCATCATCATAAGGTCGTTAGTCTTAAGACTGGTTGGACACTCACTTCCACTCTTTTCTATTCTGAGCTAATCTTCGCATTTCCCTAAAACTGGAAAAACCCATAACCTTGACTATTTGCAAACAATAATCTAATCGAATATGTCTCTGACTAGACTTTCATGCCTGAGTAGGCGTCCTACCAACCTATCTCTATTATATCTCTTCATTTCTAACCTTCTCTAACCACGGTATCCTCATCATTCGCCTGTAACACCACATTTCGAACGCTTCTAATCATTTCTTTTCCGCCGCGTCCACCGTCCATGTACATACACCTTTAACAATCTTTTCCGAGTTTCTAAATTAAACGTTCACGAGCATGGAAGTGACTTCTTTTTATTGAAGGCGACTTGACCCTGCGCTATCCTCTGCTTTATAACCCTACTTCTTCTAATTCTTCGTCTCTTACCTTTATATTCCCTTTTTTCCTACTTTTTCTTCTCTTGCATAATTTATCGTTAATTTTGATAACCTCAAACGATTTTAAACTAAAACTTGTAACCAATCAACTCTTCCACTAAACCCCTTAACCTAAAAATTGATGATCTCATATCGCTATATCCTCGTAATCAAAATACTGAAACAGTTTTGCCTAATCTCTCACCATAAAACCGTTTGTGACACAAAATTGAAGTTGCCTCCTCGTGGTGTATCTACATCGGGCAAGTTACTGCTATGGGTCTCATAAAAGTTATAAAGAATTATACAGAGTTTAACTCCTTGAAAATCAGGAGGAAGTTCTATTTTAATTTTTTGAAATATACGGCAGGAATAGGTTTTCGATGAGAGATTCAGAGGTTAGGGGTTTAAAGGTTTGTGAAGTTGTACATTTAGTGGAAGAGTTAATTGGTTACTTCTTCAAAATCGTATGGGATTGTCATGATTAACGGTTTTAATGAATTTTTGGAGATTATTTGAGGTTATGTTCAAACTCTAACAAACTGGGATTAAATTGACTGCGGGTTTGGATTTAGCGATTCCAAAAAGAAACAGTATACATGGTCAGATCCCCACACAGAATAATTTCTTTTGTGGGGCAGTTATTATGCGATGAAGTCAAAAAAAAAGGCAAAAATAATTCTTACTGATGGTAAAAATTTTCGAAATGATTATTGTGTACGAAAGAGTTGTTGATTTACGTACAGTGTCTAAAATATTTTCCTAAACGTAACTTCCAGTAAAATAGTTTGAACAGGAGGTGTCAATTTTATCCCTGTAGGTCATTAGTATTCAATTTAACCGTCATAGAGAACTATGAAGGAACGCTTTGCCGGAAGGTTAATTTTCTCAGCTGGTCGATCACGTAGAAACGTTGGATGGAGCCTGCTTGCTCTCAAGCGGCCTAAAATTCAATTGAACCGGACTGAGCCTCACTAATATTAGAGTTCGCCTCCATATCTCCTAATAGATTTCTAAATCGATATGGATTAAAGATATTGAATAGGCGTATTAAAGTGACTAATTCCAAACAAATCTTTTATTATGCTGTTTCAGTTCTTTTCTGCAATACATAATAGCATTTGCGATTGGTATTGAACTGAAATTAAAAGGATTATATCTGATAGTATCTTAGTATATTATACGAGAACATTCAGTAGAAGTCCAATATTTATCATCGATGTAAACATAACGAGAGAATAAAGAAATCTGTAGGATATGTGGCCGTTTAAAATTCAAATCATGAAATTTTCGAAAAATACAGCAGTTTTCGTTCAGCTGCTCTTTGAAAGCATACTCCTTACTAATTTCAAGAAAATATAATGTTGTAATGTAAAATTGAAAAGACAGCAGGACGAAATAGGAATGCATTGTCTCAAGTATCAGAAATAAAAACCTACTGATTGGATCAATTGGATATTATCAAACAAGTGAAGGTAACTGGCATCGACATACCTACACCTGACAACCGAGTGGTTTGTCCAGGCAAAGTATAGGCAACCCAACGGCGGCACATTCTATACGTTTGATACTTTAAGTCAGGGTAAACATTTTCTTATTATCTTAATGTTGCAACGTTTTATTAAAAATCATTTTTTAAAAAATAATTAAAAATAGTCTGTCCAGGATTTTTTTAGGCAACCCATTCTTGACATATTTTCTAATACACTAAATTTGTTATAAAATATGTTTCATTCTATTATCAGCTCGATTAAGGTCGTTTTAGGTTCGGATCTTAGACTATTACAGAAAAAGTAACAGTCTTAACTGAAGATGAATGTACATACACTTCTACTGTTGAAATATTCAGATACGATCGGTCTGTTTTTAGTATCTATACAATTCTTACTTACTAAAGTGGAAGAAGTAATTTTACATACCTTGGGGAGATGTTTTTCCGAGAAATCACCCAAATTGTGAGGCATCTGCAAAAAAAAATAACATCAAATAATAAGAAAAACTTAATATAATAATTTTTAATAAAAAACTAATAAAACGTTTCAGTCTGTCTCTCATTTATTAATAATTTATCAAGCATAATTCAATGCCCTTTATACCGATCTAATCCGATCTATACCTATGTATCATAATTACCTACGGGGATATAGGGTTAGGGGTCATAAGGTTTTAGGGATAGGGATTTAAAGGATTATGAAGTTATGTATTTAGTCGAACAGTTGATTGGTTACGGGTTTTATGTTTAAAATCGTTTGGGATTATCACAATTAACTGTTTTAGCGGATTTAGAAGTGTTTTTTGAGGTTACGTCCAAACCCTGACGTGCTGGGATTAAATTTACCGGGGATTTGAATTCATGGACCCCAAACACATACAGTATACATAGCTAGACTCCCAAGCCTGAAATTTCTTTTTGTGTGACTGTGTGACATTAACTAAAGGTTAAGAAAAAACTAATTGTCTACTACATAAAGCACACACGCTCATACAATTTCTGTTTATACATTACCTCTTCTTCCTGTCTAATTTGTTCTCATTTACGTTACATCCTGGAAACCTCTACCATAAAATCATTATTAAATGGCAAAGATTCGTTTTTTAGAATTACTTATCCACATCCAATAAAACAGAATCGCATTCCCGCATACGTAAGTTATAGTAATTATGAGAAGTGTGTCTTGAACTCTAGAGGCAACTTGCTTTTAAACGAATACTCCAAACACGCAAGAAGAACAGTCATTGCAGTTTGCCTTAATTAAAATCGAAAAGAAGTTTGAGTTTGTAGCGCATATATTTCTTTTCCTGCCTTTTAAGAATTGCTGATTATTTCAATATGTTCAACATTCGTAACAACTTGTTTAAAGAACTCATTTTCACGAAATGACTCGTCTTTAGTTCGTTATTAACGTTTCAATCGTCTTTATGATTCAATTTTATTAGCAGACAGGGTGCTTATAGGTTTAGCTTTACTGGGACTTGGACTGGACCGAGATGAGGTCCTTATTACATTCCTAACAAGCTTTCCTTTTATTCCTCGTGCCCTACATTACTCCGCCCCTTAACGCCCTTTGTTCATTCAATCGAATGCCTTCGACAGACATAGCCCAATCGTACTGCTTTTTCCCAATCCTTTCTCAAATATTTATTAAATTAATTTAAAAGCAAGGGAACACATTTCAATCCGTTGAAATTATAAAATGAACAAAATAAAAACATTGTTGTTAAGAAGCAATTTCAACATTAATTACAATTAATATTGCAAATAATCTTATACCTTTGAACTATTATAATAGGCAGTTCGTTCATTTCACGCTTGTGGGAATGAATAAACCAAAACCAAGTCCGCAATAAATTATCTGTGACAATGGACGTATCTTCTTTCTTGCTTCCACTTAGGACTTTAGTCATTTGGTGCATTTTGAACACGCCCTTGTTGAGTTAAGAAATGCGATGTGACCTTCAGTTTGACCGGCGCAAAGTAGAAAAGAACAGCACTAGGCCAGAAAAGGAAGGAGACAACTCTCGGCCAAACTCTTAACCGGTGAGGAGCGTATAATCCGTACAATACTGCACGGAAAAATTGACCATTTTATCCACTACAATTGTATTGCTCAAATGTGCTGTTATTGGTACCAATTTCTACTGAAAATATCAACGAGATGTTTATTTATATTTGAAGACATATTAAAGGCCTTAACGCCTGTTTTCGACTCGCATTACTATTAATGATTGAACAAAACTTCTGGCAGGTACTGTATGAAAAAGTATGTTTAATGAACAAGAGTCGAGAGTATAATGAGCTTTTTCTCCCTACCTACGATTTTGCCAGCGTGTATCCAAGACATTGGAAGGGGCACATCGCTAGAGAAAGTTAATGAAGTATAGTACAGACAAAGTGAAAAAAGATAACCGAATAATAGTAATCGGTGCCGCGGTTAGATGTTGCTTAGGTACGCAAAATATCAGGACGGCTTTATAACTGCTTGGTTGAAATTATATCTGTAAATAAGCGTTTCTTCTTTCCTAAATTCCTGAGAATGTTAAACTTTCTTCAAAGATGTTATTCCTCTTTCTTTAGTGTCCGCTGCAATTCTTACGTGACATCTCTTTCTATTTTTACGATATTACCTACAACGTCTGTCGTGTGTAAAAGTAGACGTTCTGTGAGAAACTGCTCTAGTCTAGTCAGTAAGTTAAAGGAAGAAAGTAAGTAAATGCGACAATTTTATTGCGGATTATCCCAATTTTGAATGTCCCAACTATACTTAGATGATAAAGTGGAAGTCTGCATTTCGGCCAATTTAATGTTAAAGTGCCTTTAAAACGTTGGACAATATAGTTACATGAGATGTTGTTTACTGATTTCCCGAAGGATATAGGCGAGCCATCTTTCAACGCAAGAAATTTGGTGGATTGCTACTTTTTTTTTACTCGCTCGCCTAAAACGTAGGGTAAACTAGAATAAAAAGTAATGACTTATTCCATTTTTTTGCTAAAGTAGGAGTAGTTTATGGTTCAGTTTATCTACAATTTATGCACGGGAGACTGTACTTAAATTAATTATGGATTAGTTACGAAGAGAAAAAGCTTTTACGATGTTAAATAATTCGGTAAACGGGTGGGTAGATACAATAGTGCTGTTCGAAAAGATAAAATGTAGCCACTAAAATCCGAAAAAATACAAGCAAGCTCCGATTAGTCCTTTGTAACTCAATAAGAAGGTTAGGGAAAAGTTTCAAGGAAATTAAATAGCAAATTAAATGAAGGCAGAGACAAATGAAGGGACGTATTATCCTGGCGTGAATTGATAGGATCACAATCTTTATTTCATGAAATGGGACCAAATACTAGAATTATTTAAATGCCTAACCGACTTATCCAAGCCAACATACAAGAAAGTTTTGTGGAGTTGTCCTTTTTTTTGTACTACCATTTGCTTTATTCGGGTATTTTCTAAACTAGATAACAAACTTAGGAGATCTTTCGCCTAGACGAGGCGGAAAAGTCATAAATCATTTTTACAACGAGGTAGGTACAAAGATGGAGGGGCTTTTTCTCAACCGATGCTATACGATTCGATTCAGATGGAATCTAACATGATATTTGCAGTGCCGTACTCAAAAATTAGGTAGCGTTACTAAAGAAAATATTTGTTTGCTAAATCTGCTGGTAATTGTTTTTGCATCACTAACAATATTCAATTTTGCTAAAAATTAATACAACAGTTAACACAAAACGATAATATTAGTCATCATCATAATATCGTCAGTCCTAAGACTGATTGGACCTCCACTCCTTTCTATCTTGAGCTAATCTTCTTATTTCCTTAAAACTAGAACAACCATCATCTTTAACTATTCGCGAACACTAATCTAATCTAGGTCTACCTCTACCCCTCCTAACTCCCGTTTCTGCCTCTAATATGTCTCTGACTAGACCTTCATGCCTAAGAAGGTGTCCTACTAACCTATCTCGCCTACTTCTTACTGATTTCCATAGAGTCCTATTACCTCTTTATTTCTAACCTTCTTTATCCACGGTAATATTAGTATTACAGTAAAAACGAAGACCTGTTTGTCGATTACTAAATGAAACTAATCTGTTTACCAGAGAAGTAGCCGCTTCTAAATACTAATTAATAAGAAAAAATGGGTGCGTGTACTTATGTACGCGCGTGAGAAGTTATACTTCTTTGGCATCATTAAAAATAGAAAAATACACAACATGTCAAAATCTTCTGTCACACAATGATAAAGAAAAGACGTATGTAATAATAAAACACGTGTTGTGACTGTAAAAACTAAAACCATGTCAAACAGCGATCAGAGGCGACAAGCGTACCAACATGCGCGACTAAGAGAGGTTTTATTTCTATTTCGTTGGTAACTTTTTTCCGAGACTTAATGAATTCGGTTGAGTGGGCAACTTCATCCTGTTAATTTTGTGTTACAGTGATGCGCGCGCATCTTGAAATTTCACTCTCATCAGTTTTTCATAACGCGCCTAAAGAAGTATAACTTCAATAATTAACAAGTTATCTATATATATAAAAATCAATGTTTGTCTGTATGTCCTCTATGAAATCGTAAACTATGCGTTTGATCATGTCATGATTTTTAGCAAAATTGTTGTTCGTGACCCCAAGAAGGTTTCTGAGTTGGTACGACCAATTTTCGACAGGAAAAACAAGAAATATTGTCTATCCCACAGCGCTTCAATAATTATCGAATTGAAACGAAACGCTGCAATGTCACAATTTTTTCGAAATGAACAAAATCAATAAAATGACTCAAAATGAATTGAATATTTGTCTAATGTCTTTCCTTCAAATTTATTTTAGTTGGTGGCGTAGCAACGTGCGCAGGATACAGCTAGTATATTATAAAATAATTGTCCATATTCGTTTCTGTTTTTAGAGTTGACGAGGACCCATTGTTCTTAAACACGACACTTACTGTATCACTAATATTATTTTGTGTTGAGTGTTGTATAAGTTGTAATCAAAAGTGAGTATTTTAAGTGAATAAATATTTACTATCTTAACGGTACGTAATTTTTGTGTACGCCACTGCAAATATCATGTTAGATTCCATCTGAAACGAATCCTTTTCCATCTTTATACCTACTCCGTTGTAAAAATGATTAATGACTTTTTCATCTCGACTTGACGAAAAATCTACCTATAATATAAAAGTGTTAAGTTAGGCTTGCACATTAGAAATAAATATTTAACAGATAAATACATGTAACAGTACATATAAATTTAGCAACAAAATGTATAGTATTCTGTTTTCAATGGTCACCAATGGGATTCTGGAAACAGCGAATAAAAGATCCAACGTTTGTTTACAGTTTCGGTTAGACAATGTCTCTCAGTTCGGATACGTATTCAGGATTTCCCTTTTATTTACTTTCTGACTTGTTCGTACAAATAAATAAATAAAGACAACGGAAAATAAAAATGCGT